TTATGTATCAGGGATGTCTAATGAATTAAGCAATATAAGTGGAAGTGAGTCTAATTCTAGTTACGAATATAGCCAAATTACTCCACCTAGTAAACAAATACACATATTGTCCAATGTAATAGGGGAAGGGGGGGTATGACGGGGACGCGAGGTATGACGGGATCACGCACACATGCAAGAAACTAGACTTTTGCGAATAGAAAGCAATAAGCCAATAGGAAGCCATACTCGATCAACCGTCAGTGCGACAGAAACAGTGAGTGGGAGTGCACGCGTTTTTTGTTGACAAACGAACATCACGTTGAGTGTCTTCTCGATCTAATTTTACGCAGTTAAAAACGTCTTTACTGAAAGGTAATTATGACTACCCAATTTATGACTTTTCTCGTATATGGTTGTTAGGGTTGTATACTTTGTTGTGGTATAGTTGGATAAATGTTCAGTTATTATTTTTCTTTTGAGAAATATTTTTTTACTAATTCAGCCTTTGGGGCAACACGGGGTATTGGGTATGGGGTAAGATGGGGTATATGGGCAACATGGGGAAGTAGGTCTTCGTTGAGATACCTATGTTGATGAATAGGTACGTGACTAACGTGGTTTTACTTTTCAGGNTGAAAACTTACCTTTTTATGTCCCAAATACACTGTAATTTATTTGAGTTGAAATATTTATTTTTTACCTTATTTTGATACCCTAATTTTCAATATAAAATTCTCGCCTCAAAATATCAGCTTTTTCCAAAAAGTCGGTGTGCTTTTTGTTCGTTGCAATCTCTACTTCCTGATGGTGTAAAAAATACATTACTATAGTGGTAGTCGAGGCAAACGTATGGTATTTATCGCTCTAAACCTACAACTCAAAGAAATACTGAAAATTATCAGGAGCTCTCACGAAATTAATAAAGCCAAACGTAATAATGATCCGGATTATGTATCAGGGATGTCTAATGAATCAAGCAATATAAGTGGAAGTGAGTCACATTCTAGTTACGAATATAGCCAAATTACTCCACCTAGTAAACAAATACACATATTGTCCAATGTAATATAAGTCCCTGGAAGTGGTAATCAGGTACCCCTCAATAATTCAAATTATCCGAATATTGAACAGGCAGACTACACAAAGAATTCTCAGGAGAATTTAGGTGATATAGAACCAGAAGAAAATGAGTTTAATACAGTTCAGGTCTTCACTCGAGAAAATATTCTACAAGAAATTGTAGATAGATCTGTTGAGAAAGCACTAAGTAAACTTCATACAAAAACTGGAGGATTAAGGAAAAGATTTGAGAAACCACTAGTTGAAAGGAAGAAACAAAAGATTGAGAGTTACATAAAAGCTCATGAAGTTAAAAAACCTTGTAAATGCAAACTCAATTGCACCCAAAACATTTCGTATACTAGACAAAGAGATATGAATGAACAGTACTGGCTATTACCGAAGGAGCAACAAAAACAGTTCGTTTTGGATAAAGTAAAACAGAGTAAAAAACTTAGAAGTACAAACAAAAATCAAACATCATAAAGAGTATATTCCCATAAATACTATTTAACATCTGAAAAAGTCGAAGAGATACTCGTTTGTAAGATTTTTTTTAGCAACATTGGGGTATGAAAAAGAAAATGACAGAATGTCGAGAAATATATGTAATAGGGATCCGAGATTGATAGCTCCTAAAAAAGATGGAAGAAGGCGTTCATAACCACGCAAAATAGACAGAAACACAATTATTGATCATGTTAATTCATTTAACCCTATGATATTTCCTATTCCAAGTTTGCAAACAACAAATCCGATGATTGGAATGGGTTCATGGAAAAGGTACACACTAATTTGACTTATCATACTTCAAAAATCATTCCTGTGCCGTTCATAAAAAATCCACCGAGTGATTATAATACCATTTCACATCGGTGGTAGAAGCGGCTAAACAATGCCAAAAACAAGAGCAAAATATTGTGCTCGTAAGTACTACCAACCAATATACCACTAAGCTCGTAAAATCGTATCCAGTATGGATTTAAATAATGATCCCTATAATTTATCCTCAATCCAAGTAAAACTTGGGGGATTTCATTTATTGATGTCGTTCCTCGGAGCAATTGGACTCATCATAGATGGTAGTGGACTAAGAGGCTTTTTGTGAAATATATGTCAAAAATTATTCTGACAAAGCTCTTTCCGGGCACACATATGTACGAGCTATCAGAGGACATTTTCTAGTACAGCTCGCCTTGTCCGAATTAATTTAATCATCGATGGAGTTGTCGGACACAAAAGAGGGGCTAATGGATACACTTTTGCTGGATTCAGGAACAGAAAATTTTGAAGACAATCTGCATCACGAAGATTTTAAGATCATAAAAGAAAAATGTATTGAGCATCGAAAATTAGTACAACAAAGAGGTCCTACTCCTTGCTTAAGATTAACTTTGTGACGTCGAACGAAACCAGTTTGGAATCAGGTGAGAGGTGAATATTAGAAGATGCTTTTCATCAGCGAGTTTTTGATACTGAACGAAGATGGGAATTGGGTGTAGTTTCAAATGTATCTATTAGGAGATGTTTTTCATCAGTTCCTGCGAGTTTTTTACACTGAACGAAGATGGGAATTGGGTGTAGTTTTGAATGGTATCAATCAGGAATTTGTCGATTTAATACGACGGTGCTGTTAGAAACGAAAGTACTGATCTAATGGGATGATATTCGTTCGTTGTGATATTCCATAGGAATTTTGACACATAATATAGAATGGAAACTTGGTCATCATGTTTGTTCTTGCTCTGAGATATCTGAAAGTGAAGTGAGTCCACGAGACAAGCTGTAGTACGTCAAAATTAATTCGCGTCAGAATTGTTCAAGAAATGTGTTTAAAATCTGTTTTTCCGTTAACCAACAGTCGCACCCCTACGAACGATAACCCTCAAAAGTCGAAACTTGTGCGAGCTAACGATTGACGAGGTCTTACCTTTTCACGTGTGATTCCTAACACGGGTTGGACGATAGCAAGTGAAGATCGATCGTTCAGACTAGGGCTTGAACCACCGACCAACACGGCAGTCAATTCGAGTGAGTGAACAAATCAGCCACGCCGAACCGCTTGGCTACCGACCGGTAGAACAGTTCATCTCATTATTAACTAATTTGTGCAATGCACAAAATCTGCGATATTTCAAAGTATACTAGTACCTCTTTCAGGATAAATAAGTACCCGAAATTTTGAAAATAAATCATTTACATACATTTTTCTGTAGTTTTTCAATACTCAGCTCATAAGTCTCATAGAATGGACTCCAAATCATACTCGTATATTTAGGTTTTGAAGTGTCTAATAGCTACTTGGAGTAAACGAGTTCATTGATATCATGAAAACTACTTCAGAAGAATGTACGAGGTACATCAAACTGAACAGCAAACAAAGAAAGCGAAAGAAATGGATAACTGGATGCTTGATCAATACTGTAAACAAAAAATAGCATGTATCGAAAACTTAAAAAAAATCCAAATGATATCGTTTTACATGAGGAATATCAAGCTCAAAAGAAAATATTAGATAAGCTCATCAGGGAAACAAAAAATGAATACTATAGGAATTGTATTGACAATGGGGGGTAATTATTAAAAAAAATGAGGCAAACTGTTAATGAAATATCAACCGACCAAGATCCTACACCTGTCAATCGGATAAAAACAATAAATAACGAATAGATTCAACAATTATTTCATTTCTGTAGGTGGAGATTTGGCGCGAAATATGAATATAAATCCAGACTATTCCGAAAGGAAGAGTATATGTAACCACTCCATTTTTCTGCAACTGACAACTGAAAACGAGATCCTAGTTATTTATTATACAAGGGAAAAAATTATTAGATTTTAGCTCGAGGTTGACAGGGAGACAGTTCTCAAAATAGGTGTTGTAACGCCTATATATAAAAGTGGAAAAAAACCGTTGTAGCAAACCATCTCATAACTAGTTTTGCTAAAGTTCTCTAGAAGGTTATTCAAAAGAGATTTGAATATGTTTCTTGAAAAACACCAGTTGTTGTCAAAATCACAACAGGGCTTCAGAGAGAATATGTCCACCCAAGACCCAATAAAAAAACTAACTCAGCAAATTAATTCATGTTTGGATGAATCGAAACCATCTATTGTTATTTACGTAGACCTTAGGAAAGCTTTCGACACCGTCGACTATCTTACTGAATCTTCTGGACGATGTTCACGAGCAGAGATACATAGACAAATATAAATTCAAATATTCACTTCCACGATTGTGGATATATATTGTGTATTGATTTGTTTGTAGTATGGAACCCTTATGAATAAAATCTCTATATCCATTGATTGTTTGATTTATTTATATTATATCCAAATGTATCCAGTTCAAAATTATGTTTTTATCCATACTTAGTACCCATTCAATACATTATTTTATTTTGATTCTTCATATTCGGTTCAAATATGTACAGTTAAAACTCAATTTAGTATCTTAGTACTTAATTTAATGCATGAATCTCATTCAATATTCTCATTCCTTACACACAGGTAGATCATTTTGCCTCGTAAGATGTATTTTATTTGTTCACTGTTCATTTCTATAAGTACATATATATTTACTGTAAACAATCTTAAGAAAGTGAATAAATACATATTATTATTTATATTACTTCGAAAGTTACTGCAACTTCTTACTATGAAACCATAACAACATCGGCAGTTTTTGTGGAATATTTTTTCAATTTTTGAAATTACTATGGATCTTCATCAAGTAACGACCGAATCAATCAGAAAATTTATGGAGTACATTCACCATATATATTCGTTATTGAATTTTTTCGTGTCATTTATTGTATTTCATTCAAGAAATGCATCTTTAACACTTCCAGATCATTTATATTAGTCTCCATTCAGAACCCGCGATGCCAAATGGAACTGGCCTATTTCCATATTATTAGATTTACGCATCCTAAAAATAGGCGAAGACACCACAATAACAATATCGAACAGTATCTATCCAAATAAAAATGAAGGTGGACGTAGAGTTGATGTTCGAATGTTTGATGTACCTCAACGCTCACTACTATCCAGTTTTTGCCATAAGCGAAGCATCCATGACCATCGCAAAACACATCAGCGAAAAAAAACACACTCCGAACCTAGACAGAGATGCTATGGTGTGTTCGTTGAGGCTTTTCATTGAACTGGCTAAGCTCATTTTATTCAAAAGGTACAAAGACGACCACAGAAGTAAGTGAGTATTTGGAGTTTGCGAAAGGGTGTCTTGTGATTTGAAGTCTGATGTTTTCAATGAATTTTCTTACTTATATTTCGACTGTAATTTGTGGAATCAGATTTTTCGTTTCCAATGCCTAGAGGTCTTAATTTCTCCGTAAGGTAGGTTCTACCTGAACCGCTATTCTTGAGTTTGACAGAAGATAATGCATCTCAAATTATCAATCTTATCAACTGAAAGAAATACACCTAAAAGATTGCTTTTGGATATTTCATTTATTCAACAATCGAATAATTGCCGTAATAGAAAATCAGACATTGATCACCTCAGTGAAATCTATGCCTTTCTCCTAGATATTGATGAAAATTTACATGATTTTCAAACCAGAGGTAATTCTGGATTTTCATTAATATAATTCATAACATTTTTTCAATATTCTGAAACAACCTCCTCATGGCAGGATTCCACTTTCAATTAATAACACTTCTTCATTAACTTTTTACCCGAAACTAATAAGGGTGTTGTCGATTAATTAATTTCAATTTGATGCCATTGATATTGGGTTTTCTCATTGATTTACTTATATAACAGCAGATGTCTCTGATCACACTTGCACCATAACAGTTCTCAATATTTCACTTCCCCATTCCTCTGTTGCCAGGATTTGTCACTTGGTGAATTGAATAATTTAAAATACAAAAAGACAAATAGGATGAGAATAAACCGATTTATTGATGCAATTGGTTCATTTATTGGCCCATTCGATTTTTTTTGTCGTTTCCAACAGTTGCAGTTGGAGCAATTCATCAGAATCTTCGCGTTGACATATTCCAATTGTTTCAATGTAACATTCTTTTCGACACGGCCATCCTCACTGATAGTCAGTTTGAGCCCTTTGTATCGATTTCACATCGTACTATCATCATACTAATTTTGTAGCTCTTCCTTAAAGATAATAATGAATTTGATCGAAATATTGTAATAACTGGAATTATGAGAGTACATCCGTTCTGCTGATCACTCAAAGATATTTTCCAAGTTTTTTCCTCAACTAGTCAGTACCTGCCCCGTACTGACGATGCCTATCAGGCTGAAACAGCTGTATACTGGTGACTCTTGAATTGAAATCAATATGGGAATGAACAGAATTGTTAGGTTAGGTAAGGTCTACAGTGAGTGGGTCTATTCGACCCTCCACCGTAACCCGCAAGGGTTTATTGTGGCTCATACCTATTTACACTCGGCCAAATCAACCCAGCTTCTCAACGAAGCCGATTAGTTTGTAAGGTTTGTGGTCTTTCAGGTCAGATGGTGAGAGTACGGATCTGCCTAACTCTAAGAACCTGATTCGGTCCCCAGCGAGGCAGGCAAATAGAGGCGACACACACTGTCTACCGACAGTCCCAGTCTCTGCATATGGTGATTCAAATGACAGTGACCTGCAAGAAGGCCAGTTAGACATCATAGTTCATCCCTACTGTAGCCCAACAACTAATTTGGTATCAAGCTTCGAAGGGTGGATAAACGCCTTGGAGTGAGTCAATCCTGGAAGATTCTGACAGAAATCCATGAATCTCTTTGCCATCCATGTGTTCAATGTTTGTTTGGCAAAGTCCAAAGTGATGCAAATGACAGGTTCTGGTCCGATGAAGCTGCTTGCAGCACCCTCCTTTGCAAGAGAGTCAGCAGCTTCATTACCTTACAGGCCATTATGGCCAGGAATCCAAACCAGAGACAATCTGTTAAGTCTTTGTATCGAGGAGAGTCGTTTTTGGCAATTTGCTACCAATTTAGACGTTGCTCGGTAGGAGCCAAGAGCTTCCAACGCCGCTTGACTGCCCGAGAATATTTTTATTGACATGTGTGTGAGGTTGGATTTATCCAATCTTTCCGCACACAATTCAATAGCGTAAATTTCCGAAATACAGTAGCATAAGTTCCTAGGCAGGTAGATATTTCTGTCCTGGATCTCCGACTAAAAACACCTGCACCAGAACAGGAAGGTGTTTTTGATCCATCTGTGAACCAACAACTACCTGCTCTTAATATTTCCTTCTCCCGGAGGACCCAGTCCTCTCTACTCGGGAATGATACTTTATAAGGCAGTTCGTAGTTGACAGCTGGATGCATAAAGTCAAAGGACATTTCCAGAATGCTGTGACTTCCAGTGTCAACCAACAGCCTGTTGCACTCTGCATTTGATTGATTTGTGCAATTGGCAATGTGCACAAGTCTGTATGCAGTCCATCTAGCCTCTCTCTCCAGAAAAATGTGGAGGGGAGGTAGATCTAGAACGAACCAGTGATAGTCAGACAAGCCTGTCTCTGTAAGCCAGAGAGCTTCGCTTGGGCCGTTTTCTGTAAAGCCTTCGGCCACCAAGCAACTGCACCATAAGTGATCATTGGTCTGACAATCATCACATAAATCCAAAGGATTTGTTTGGGACCTAAACCCCAAGTTTCACCACAAATCCTTCGACATGTCCATGGCTTTGTGTAAAACTTTTTCCAAGTGAGCGTTCCAGGTGAGTCTTTCATCAAGGACAATGCCAAGATATTTCACCTCCGTTCCAAATGAAATGATTAATTGATTTCAATTTGATGCCACTGATATTGGGTTTTCTCATTGATTTGCTTGTATAACAGCAGATGTCTCTGATCACACTTGCACCATAACAGTTCTCATTTGTTCCATAGTTTCAACATAGACAAACAAACAGACTCTTTTCAAACTGAACTTCAACCACATGGCTTTTACCGGTAATCTATAATTAAAAAAAATAACGATTTTTAGTAAATTACTAGTTGTTGCCGCGGCTTCGCCCACTTAGAATTTGGTAGTTGTAGTACTATGTTGCTATATCGCTGCTGCTCCAATGTTTTGACAAAATCAGAAACAACGAACTTAGGCGTGCACAGCATTATAGAACAGTGCTCTCAAAAAATTGTTCTACAGCGCCATCTAGTGGCGAGTTACAGAAATATTGATAGCCTAAAAACCTTCTCTATGAAAAATTACTCATACATGTCAAGGTTCATCAGGATCGGTTGAGCCATGTAGAAGTTTATCACTTACCAACCAACCAACCAACCAACTAATAAACATCCATTTTTATATATTAGATTCCAATAATCCTCTTTATATCAGTGAGGAGCCATCCTCTTTTAAGTCAATTGTATTGACATATTTCAATTGTTTCAATGTTACATTTTTTTCGACACGGCTATCCTCACTGACAGTCAGTTTGAGCCCTTTGTATTGATTTCATATTGTACTATCATCATACAAATTTTGTAGCTCTTCCTTGAAGATGATGATAAATTTGATCGAAATATTGGAATAACTTGTATTATGAGAGTACATCCGTTCTGCTGATCACTAAAAGATATTTTCCAAGTTTTTTTTTCTCAACTAGTCAGTACCTGCCCCGTACTGATGATGCCTATCAGGCTGAAACAGCTGTATACTGGTGATTCGTAAATTGGAATCAATATGGGAATGATCAGAATGGTTAGGTTAGGTTGGGTCTAAAGTGAGTGGGTCTATTCGACCCTCCACCGTAACCCGCAAGGGTTTATTGTGGCTCACAACTATTCACACTCGCCCAAACAAACCCAGCTTCTTAACGAAGCCGATTAGTTTGTAAGGTTAGTGGTCTTTCAGGTCAGATGGTAAGAGTACGGATATGCCGAACTCTAAGAACCTGATTCGGTCCCCAGCGGGGCAGGCACAAAGTATATACTCTGCTGTTTCATCATTTTCCAAACAGGCGACACACACTGTCTCTCGATAGTCCCAGTATCTGCATATGATGATTCAAATGATAGTGACCTGCAAGAATACCTGTTAGACATCGTAGTTCATCCCTACTGTAGTCCAACAACTAATTTGGTATCAAGCTTCGAAAGGTGGATAAACGCCTTGGAGTGAGTCAATCCTGGAATATTCTGCCAGAAGTCCATAAATCTCCTTGCCATCCATGTGTTCAATGTTTGTTTGGCAAAGCCCAAAGCGATGCCAATGTCCGATGAAGCTGTCCGACTGGTCTGATGAAGCTGCTTGCAGCACCCTCCTTTGCAAGAGAGTCAGCAGCTCCATTACCTTCCAGGCCAGTATGGCCAGGAATCCAGACCAGAGACAATCTGTTAAGTCTTTCTATCGAAGAGAGTTGTTTTTGGCAATTTGCTACCAATTCAGACGTTGCTTGGTAGGAGCCAATAGCTTCCAACGCCGCTTGACTGTCCGAGAATATTTTTATTGACTCGTGTGTGAGGTTGGATTTATCCAATATCTCCGCACACAATTCAATAGCGTAAATTTCCGCTTGAAATACAGTCGCATAAGTTCCTAGTCAGGTAGATATCTCTGTCCTGGATCTACGACTGAAAACACCTGCACCAGAGCCGGAAGGTGTTTTTGATCCATCTGTGAACCAACAACTACCTGCTCTCAATATTTCCTTCTCCCGGAGGACCCAGTCCTTTCTACTCGGGAATAGTACTTCAAGAGGCAGTTCGTAGTTGGCAGTTGGAGGCATAAAGTAAGAGGACATTTCCAGAATGCTGTGACTTTCAGTGTCAACCAACAGTCTGTTGCACTCTGCATTTAATTGATTTGTGCAATTGGCAATATGCACAAGTCTGTATGCAGTCCATCTGGCCTCTCTCTCCAGAAAAATGTGGAGAGGAGGTAGATCTAGAACGAACCAGTGATAGCCGGACAAGCCTGTCTCTGTAAGCCAGAGAGCTTCGCTTGGGCCGTTTTCTGTAAAGCCTTCGGCCACCAAGCAACTGCACCATAAGTGATCATTGGTCTGACAAACATCACATGAATCCAATGGATTTGTTTGGAACCTAAACCCCAAGTTTTACCACAAATCCTTCGACATGTCCAAAGAGACAGTCTGGTTTCGTGTAAAACTTTTTCCAAGTGAGCGTTCCAGGTGGGTCTTTTATCAAGGACAATGCCGTTCCAAATGGAATGATTAATTGATTTCAATTTGATGCCATTGATATTGGGTTTTTTCATTGATTTGCTTGTATAACAGCAGATGTCTCTGATCACACTTGCGCCATCACAGTTCTCAATTGTTCCATAGTTTCAATATAGACAAACAAACACACTCTTTTCAAACTGAACTTCAACCACATGGCTTTCACCGGTAATCTATAATTTAAAAAAACAAATAACGAATTTTAGATTATTTCAATAATCCTCTTTAAATCAGTGAGGAGCCATCCTCTTTTGTAGTGACTTGTTCTATTGTATTGACTTATCTCAAGTGTTTCAATGTAACATTCTTTTCGACACGGCAATCCTCACTGACAGTCGGTTTGAGCCCTTTGTATTGATTCCATATTGTACTATCATCGTACAAATTTTGTAGCTCCTCCTTGAAGATGATAATACATTTGTACGAAATATTGGAAAAACTTGTATTAGAGAACGGATGTAGAGTACCTACATCCGTTCTGCTGATCATTCAAAGATATTTTCCAAGTTTTTTTCTGAACTAGTCAGACGATGCCCAACAGGCTGAAACAGCTGTCTAAAGGTGACTCTTAAATCAATACGGGAATTATCACAATATCACTCATCGATAACCTTGTCTGTGTTTTTATCCTCACTGGGACTACTTTCACGACGTTTCGGCAAAGTCGCATTTGGTGATGTTTCCTTTGGTGTTCGGAATTAGACTGACCTAACTAAGGTATGGATGTTGAGGTCTGACCTCAGGTAAACATTAACACCCATACCAATATAGTAAGAATTAGACTCGAATAAGGTCAATCTTATTCCGAGCATCAAAGGAAACATCACCAGTAGAAAGCAAATGAGATTGGTCTTCGCGGTCAGCAAATTGATGTACTATCGTCCGGGTTGGACCGCGTCTGTAATTTTCATATTTTCGACGTTTCGGCTTGAGATGTGTGGCGAGACAGTAGTGACCTCCATGATTGAGGTAGTTTCTGTGGAACATCTTGTTTATTCAGACAGTCGAGAAGTTTTTCAATTTCAATTTTGATGTTTCCGATGCTAATCGTGTGGCCTGTTCAAGGCCCGTTTCGTTTCACCTTGAAACAGGCCTGCTTGTTTTGGCCCTTCTTCCCGTGAATGTTCAAAATGTGATGAGTTTTTACGGGTTGCAAATGCAGTTCACAAATTGACATCTATGATTGAATCCTCCAACTATTTACTTATTCCTTTCGAAAATACCATTTCAATGTTGTCGCAAAATTCATCTCGCGGGAAAATAAATTCACACAACCTGACAAACTGATGCGATACGTGTTGAAAAAGTTTGTAATAGAGTTTTTTTAACATTGGAGGTTGAAGTCAAAATTTAGTTTTTGTATTGTTTTCACGTAGATGTCAAACTGGTAGTCGGAAATATACTTCGAATTGAGTGGCAAATGTGGGCATGTATAGTCTATATGAATTCAATCCATCCGATCAGCTAAATGAAATACTAATGTACTGAGATTGATGAATTCACTAGTTAATCCCATATAAAACATCCCACATAAAAAAAAACATTAGAACTCGTGATTATACCACGCCGCCCATGTCATACAAAGAAACTGCCGACTTTCGGTAACTATTCTGTTTTCATGCCATTCAAATTGACATTGTATAAAGTATATGTTTCGCTACTTCTAGAAAACCGGGTCGCTCGCTACTACTTGATGTAACTCTATTCAGAAAAATATCTATGTATAATATATGTAAATAAAATCGAGAAAAGTTAGTGCAGTCGAGCTGCTAGAAAATAACTCTATAAAAATCAAAAGATAAATACATAAGTACTATTCTGATCATTTCCATATTGATTTCAATTTGAGAGCCACCGGTAGACAGCTGTTTCAGCCTGTTGGGCATCGTCAGTACCGGGTAGGCGGTCCTCGATTGAAGACAGAATGTGAATAACGAAGAAAAATACTTGATAAAAATAACTGCGTAAACGCAAGCGAGACATGAGTAGAACTACCTATTGGTATGACACCCAAGTCAACATGCCAAGTTTTTATGTCAGTATTGGTGGTTTGACCAGTCAACCGACAACTGCGGTAGCAGAAATTTGGGGTGCTACCTTGGAATGCTACCGAAAAACGAATCCACATGTTTCTAAAAATGGTATGTAATTGACAAAGGTTAATGCAATAGTTTTCCGATGTTTCTGCTTATTTTATTCGTAATATAGTGTTATACGATGAATTTTTCATATCACCTAGTGCGTGTAATGTCTGTGATATCGTTGATGATTGAACTTTGTAATATTATTTTTCTTTCTTTAATTTTTTCGCAAAATAATTTTTTATTTTCAGAAATAGTAACGGCCGTAGTAGTTTTTATGACGATGATAACAGTGGGTACAGTTTATTACACAGTATTCGTTCAGGATCCTACGCTGAAACTGGAAAACGTCTTCTCGTGCCTGACGATCATGTTGATGATAGTGGAACTAGTTTTTGGAATATGGTTCATCATTCCATGTAACGAAAAAGTGGAATACTACTACTAAATATTCGTTGTCGAACAATAAATTATATAGAAAAACTCTGTATTTTCATTTTGCGAGAAGTATTTAAGTAATTTACGATTATTTGAACAGAAAAAAACAAGCTTTATGGCATTCTCTATCATGAAGATACTAGGCTATGAAGTGAGTGGGTGCTTCGTCTTTTAAAATTTCCATGAATATTTGAAAATATTCATGGAAATTTTAAGGTTCTGATAGGTGGAAAATTTGTTTTGTTCCATCAAGTCATCGTGACAGATACATACTCCGCCAGCTTCAATCAGATATTGTGATATATAATGTGAGGGTGATAAGACACGTTTCTTATTCCCAAACTTCAAGTTCCACCAATCGATAGTGTTTCATGTGAGTAAAATTTCATATGGTAATTCTTCCTATATGAAGGTAACTTCAATGCATGATCTAGCATTTGAAATGCTACAACATCTTGGTAAAGAATTCATTTTGAACCGAATTGCTTTTTCTCTTTTCTTCGAAAGATATTTACAACTTTTGTATGAGAATAGGGAAGGAGAAAGCCAAAACTTTTTCTCATATTGTTTGTCTGAAGATATCTGTAGTTTTTGTAGTTACTTGAAGGTACTTTCGTACATTGAATTTTTGTAATCATAAGTAAACTAGTAGTGGTAGTTTGTGTAAAGTTTCCATAGGTTATTACTATTCCACCACCTGTATACTGGTGGTTCAAAAAGGTTACCGAAAAACATGTCATGTGCTCAAGCTAGATGGAAATTGGTAAGGTCGAACAAAGGAATTGATAAACTACAAAAAATACTAAGTCGAAACGAATACAAACAAAGTAGAAATAATCTGATGACAACAATAATAGAACCGAACAGAAAGCGTGGAAAACACTAATAGGAGAAGTAGATCCGGATATCTGAGTAAAGGGCTACCAAATAGTAACCCAAAAACATGCATAATTATCCCTAAAGGAATAAATATAGGTACTGCCGTTGAGTAATTTGTGTTCCAGAGACTTGACGGCAGTCAAAATGAAGACAGCTGGCGGGGGCGGACCTGAGGAAATCATTGGATCAGTATACCTCCCTTAGGACAGTCCGGAACCACCACCAACCAGGAAAGTGGAAGAGTTGGTTAGGACCTGCCAAGCAGAGGAACTACAAGTGATAATTGGCTGTGATGCCAATGCACACCACCTAACCTGGGGAAGCACCAACACCAACGAAAGAGGTCAGCACTTACTACAGTTTATCATGGCAAATAACTTGGACATTTTAAACATAGGCAACAAACCTACTTTCGTAAATGCGAGACGTAGTGAAGTGATAGACGTAACGATAGGAACTACATTTGTGAGTAACTATATTCGGAAATGGAATGTGTCCGATGAGGAAAGTTGTTCAGACCATCGACACATAAACTTTGAAATCGGAAGGATTCAGACCTCGATCCTAACATATCAAAATCCCCGGAAAACTAACTGGGAAGCCTATATGGTGGACCTGGAAACCTGTTTAGACCGCATGGATTTTGACATCAGAGATTGCATAGACCTAGAGCTGGCAGCAGATCGATTACAGGGAGCTATCATCCCTACGTACAACGAACATTGTCCCATAGTAAACCAGAGATCAAACAAGAATGTGCCCTGGTGGAATGAAGATCTAGCGAGGATGAGAAAAAAAACTAGAAAAGCCTTCAGATGTGCAAGGAAATCAGGTTCATGGGACCAATACAGAAGGTCCCTAACTGAGTATAACAAAGTCCTGAGAAAATCCAAGAAAGATAAGTGGAGAAGGCAATGTGAGGAAGTCGAACAGACCCAAGCATGTGCCAGGCTCTACAAAATACTCTCGAAGGAACCTCAGGTCTCAATAAATAATACGGGGGAGTATACAAAAACCGGAGAAGTGACTATTAGAGAGCTTTTCTGGGTACACTTTCCCGGGTCAGAAATTACAAATCTAACACCGGAGTCCTGGACGAATTCAGAACTGGAGACCCCGAAAAGGGCATCCAGGGAGGACTGGCAAATGACAAAGGTGATAGATCTGGCGAAAATTAAATGGGATGTAAGCTCATTTCAACCCTATAAGTCGCCGGGACCTGATGGCATATTCCAGTAATGCTTCAAAAGGCACCGGAAGTACTTTTCAAAAAATTGTGTATAATACTCAGGGCAAGTTTAGCACTGGAATACATACCAAAAATTTGGAGGCTTATCATTCCGAAACCTGTGAAAATCGGACAGGACTCGGCGAAGGCCTTGAGACCAATTAGTCTTATGTCATTTGCGTTGAAAACGCTAGAAAAACTACTTGACAGGCATATCAGGGACGCATCACTGGCTATCAGACCATTACATCGAGACTAATATGCATACAGGTCAGGTATGTCAACAGAAACGGCTTTATGTCGGGTAACAGAAAAAGTAGAATATACTTACAAAAACAAGGAAGTACTTTTAGATTGATACTTCGTCGTTAGAATCAATCATCCAGGCGTCGAGGAGAAGAGGGATCGACAAGACAAGCTGTAGGTGGATAGACTGCATGCTCAGGGGAAGATTGGTATATACAACCATTATGGGGAAACAGTCGTGGCACGGGTAGCAAGAGGCTGTCCTCAGGGGGAGTTCTATCTCCTCTGTTATGGAAACTTGTAATGGACGAGCTATTATGTCTCCTGGACCGCAATGGATATAAAGCACTGGGCTATGCAGACGACTTAATCGTCTTAGTCCAGGGTAAATACAATAATGTAGTGAAGGGATGCATGCAGCAGGCCCTGAATATTATAACGAGATGGATCGAAGAAGAAGGGCTTAACATAAGCCCATCAAAATCGACCATAGTAGCATTCACCAAGAGGACTAAAACGGAGGGTCTCGGACCTCTAAAACTTCGAGGTGAAGAAATACAAGTGTCGGGGGAGGTAAATATCTGGGAGTAATCCTAGATTCCAAACTGACCTGGAACCAACACTTGGACAGGATAGAGAGGAAAGCGGAGCTAGCACTGATGCTCGCCAGCACACCTATGGAAAAACATGGGGGCTAAAACCAGACATGGTATATTGGCTATACACGATGGTGGTTAAACCCATGATAACATACGCATCTCTAGTCTAGTGGCCAAAGATGAAGCAGGCGACCGCCATCAACAAACTAGGCAAGGTGCAAAGACTTGCATGTTTGGGAATGACGGGAGCAATGAGAACTACTCCAACAGCTGCATTGGAGACACTCCTGAATCTACCTCCTTTACACCTTGTGATAATGGGGGAGGCCAGGATAGGCCAACTCAGACTGGAAAACTCACAGAACTATAAAAGATCGGACCGAAAAGAAATTTCGGAACAAGTGGAGGACCACATATTGAATATGTGCACGGACCACATGACACCGAACTACACCTTTAACACAAACTTCACGGCCAAAATCATAAGCCGTGAAGAGTGAAAGACCATTAGTATTCCCGAAAACATGTTTGGAAAAAACGTCTGGTAAACAGATGGATCGAAGACCAAACATGGAACGGGACGGGAGCTGGAATATATCGAGTCTTCCGTACAGAGTACTGGATAAAAGTACCTGGCAACAAACACAGTAGAACTTTCATCAGGGAACCGTCCGAGAAAAGAACCGAAGAACTACTTCAATATAGTATGGATCGACTCAGATTAATTACAGGGTTACTAACCTGTCATTGTCCGCTTAGAGAACACCTGAATAAAATGGGGCTGTACTACGGAGACCTCAGCTGCAGATTATGCAACGAAGGGACAGAAACAGCTCTACACATCTTATGCGAATGTGAGGCACTGAATCACAGGAAACAGGCAATATATGGACGTGGGAAATTACGTCCACAAGGAATTGACGAACATCCAACACGGAGCCTGTACAAACTAGTACAGGGAACGAGACTGATGGAATGGGTGTCATGAGAAGATGGGAGAATAAACGCAATGAGCCCAAGAGGCTGCAGTGTTTTCTGGAGACTTGGACAAGTCAGACAGCTCCCAAGGTACCAAAAAAAAACAACATCAGATCAAAAAATGGGACGGATTACTAACGAATCCAGATGAGATACCATATTTCACAATGGAAAAACTCATGGAAGCCAACGAAAGACTGAAAGATAAAAAGCCCTCGGTCCCAGCTGAAATCATCAAAGTTGTCTTTAAGGCACACCTAGAACGACGTCTGAGAATCTAGGACCTCCTATAATCAACAAGACAATTTTCCGAAAAATGAAAGATAGCCAGATTCGTTCTTATTGAAAAAGGCCCATATACATCCTTAAAATCATTAGGAAATTTCTCGAGCAATTGATCAAGGTGAGACTCTCAAGAGAAATAGAAAGAAAAGGTGGCCTGATGCACTGGCAAAGGTATAAAACATCGCAGACGAAAGGATTAGCAGGAAAAGATGCGCCATAATAACGTTGGATGTACCAAAGGCCTTCAATTCCACACCATATGAAGGGATCCTGAAAAAAGAAACGTACCTGCATGCATGTACAATATGATTGCCAGCTCCCTTGAAGAGGTGGTGAGAACATCAACTCTGGGGATCCACAAGGCTCAGTAATTGGTCCCACATTGTGGAACATATGCTATGATTGGGTAATTAATCTGACGGTCCCTAGGGAATTTATTCTGCCGTAGTGGTGGTAGAGAAAAATGAGGAAAGTCTGGTGAGAACTTCAAATAGAACTGTGGAGGATATAGCCGACTGTATGAAAGCGAAGCAACACAAGCTTGTTTCTCAGAAGTCAGAGGTAGTACATAGAGACTGCCAACAACAGTCAGGAGAGTGAAAAGTTTTACTTGATTCAAATATTCAATAGTTGAAGTTGAGCTCATTTGTTTACATGAGTGATCACAACTTCTGAATAATCTGAAATACGATATTTTTCACTAGATTTCATGGATAATCAAAATTATAATTGTGAAAATTTTATAATATATAGATCCTTGAAATTGAGAGGAATTGTTGTTGAAACGAAAACATTCCAACGAAGAGAGAAGCAAAATTATGATTAACAGCAGTTCATCTGAATATGTTCCATTGGTATCAAAAATGACAATAAAAGAGAAAATAATGATACTGCAGAATTCATTCTTGAAAACAAATTTCATATCTTGAAGACGCTTACTTGGTCGAGAAGCCTATTGCAGTTTTGGTGATTGAGGAATGTGTTCAGTTTGAATTTCTATCAGTAACATATCACTGAAGAAGGTGGTGTATTAAGTAATTGTATCGGGACAAGAAATGAAAATCTCAACGAACTACATAAATATCTTTATTTTGTCAACACTTATAAAAGTAAATAGAAAATTGTTAAATATTCATGAAAGCTTGGGAAAATACTGCTTGTACTTGATTTTATGGCCAAATTAACAATTAAAATATATCCATTGCTGAAAAATGTCAGTTCAATTCGTTATAATTTCATCAATGAAAATTAAATAATAGAAAAATTCACAATACGAGATAAAAGTTTTGGATACACTTAATTCTGCAAAATAGTACGCTGAACTAGTTCATTATCATATTATCCAAAAAATATGTTTTTTTTGGAATAATCCTGTTTTGAATAGTTAAACAATATCTTCAAGCTTTCGGAAACTATAGAGAAGTATTTACATAAGTTGTGTTCTCTAATGAGCTGCAAATCAGAAAACGTCTGATATGACCACAAATATAATGCTAGAAAAACTTTACCATTATACTTGTGATATGACATTGGACAGACCTGAAGAACACAACTTTGCAAATGAAAATTATAGAGAGAAAATTGGTCATATCTGCAATATATTAATATGGTAGGTATATTATTTTGACTGGTGTGTTATGGTTATTATTCAACAGCTGAAGGACCTTGTATACAATATTACATTTGATTTACTCTTTCATAAAACACATAACTGTGTGTCTCAAAAACAGTCTTACGATTTTTAGAGAATTTTAAATAGAGAAGACATGTGAATATATGATTTTTGGAATTTGTTAAAGACGTGGAATGATGTAAAATATGTTCTAATATGAAGGTAGCCAACAGTAATTATTAATAATAATTCATCATGAATGAAAACGGCTTTCAAAACCAGTGAAGAAAAGTATTCAGTAAAGATGAACAATAAATCATTTTCTGTATGAATGAGAGGAGATATGCAGATGCATTCTGAAGAGACAGTAAAATAACAAATTTGTTTCTGCACTTCCAGATTTATTTTATCAGTGATTCTTTGCTTGACAGCAACTGGAATCATCAAAGAGATATGAAGACGTAGAAACCAGCATTGAATTAGTTGCAGGCTATTGATAATCCCAAACAACACTGAACCTCTTTGATCTTCTATTCAATATCATTTGAAAAATATCATCTCTTCATTAGAACACAGTATTTGAAAAATGTCTCTTCCACCTTGAAAACATAAGATATTTAAAAAATATGTAATGAAACTTGCATGAATCTCTAACTGCACTATTACTTGAATAAGTGGTCAGAACATCGAGAACCACAATTTTTTGTTCATCCGAAAGAAAAATTAACTGGAAACGAATAGGAGAGTGTGTATGAAAGAACCAGGCTTTGGAAGAGCCGAAGTGATTTTCTACCACTTACCAAAATTCTACCATAATTTGATTTTAATGTTTGTATGGCAATACTGAATAGCTGTCATCCACAAACATTTGACAGTTCACGAATGACGTCGGTAGACCACATCAAAGATTTTAGGACAAAAAAGTATGTTTGCGTTGTGACTTAATTTATTTAACAAAGAAAAATGTAGCATTATTTTACGATAACATTGATGTTTACACGAAATAGTTGTATTTTGAAGTTACAACTTGAATGACAAAATGTTTTTGAACAGCCACTTGTCGAGGCTTTGAAAGATCCGGCTCTTTCATGGCACGAAAACTGACTCTATCAATACATTACAAACTACCAAATTGCGCAGTTTGTTAGAGATGCCTATTTAGCAGTTTTCAGCCTACAAAACGTTACTCAAGGATTCATGAAAACTGGCATACACCCTTTAAATTCTAACATATTTTCTGACGATGCGTTCCTTGCATCATATGTAACAGACAGACCTATTCCAGCTTCTAAAATGAATAAAAAGAGGAAAAAGAGGAGAAAAATAAACCTAGAGAAGTTGGTGCTGAGAAAATGTCAATAAAACAAAATATGAAAAAACTAAGTTCCAAGGCAGATGATGAAATTCTGTTAGAAAAAATCTGTTTAAAATCTGTTTTTTCGTTAACCAGCAGTCGTACCCCTACGAACGACAACCCTTAGAAGTCGAAACTTGCCTTGTTTTAAAGGTCTTTCGAATACCTTTACAACTCTGTCAAAAGAAAATTTTTGTAACGATTAGTTTTCGAGATAATTTGAAGTTGAAATTGCCATGTCAATAATACATTAGACAGACCACTCGGTAACTTGTATGCCTAAATAAAAATAATTTCGAGCAGTTCTTCCTATCAGTTTTTTGTTAAATAAAATCCCTTTTTTAAAATCAATACCCACTCCTCCTCTTCATTAGTACATCGTTCGATTGTTTTGTTTAAACGGGTCGTGTATTGTTATTTGTTTAAAAATGCCTTACACTACTGCTGAAAGGGTTTCAGTTGTCAGAAAACATCCAGTCTAGCACTCA